TTATCAATATCGGCGGAGGCCCCTACGTTTGACGATTAGGTGAGAGGAAAGCTAATAGCATCAATACACCGGAGCCTCAGGTGACGAACAACCCCATTAGCGTATATTTCACGCAACAAACTAGCGACTAATAGAAAATTTGTTTCAATTGATGAGCTTCCGCTAGATTAAAGAGCTGTCAATGCGTATTTTCCTCTGTTTACAGTTGAGTCTTGATCTCAGAGCGTAAGTCCTCGGTCACCTGCAGCCACTGAGTGCAGTTTGATTTGCTACATTTCGCAAGACGACTGTTTCACATGACGAGCTCGGTGGCGAAACGGAGTGGACTCGTTAACCAAGGTTTCACTGTACATGTAAGCGTATAAAAACATTTCATTTGGTACCAGAGATTTTTAGTATGCGGCACATATGAGAAGCTGGTCCGGATTACTTTGATGGCCGCCAGTGGTATAACACGGGAACAAGAATACCCTCCATAATACAGGAGACCTTACGCTAAATTTTAGGATGCATCAAGTTCATTTAGGACAACGAAACTTGCTCACCTTCATTTGATTAGCTGAGCGGAATTTAGGGATGTGATAAGTAAGTCAAGTATTGTACAACTCTAAAAGACACTGCCAAAGACCTGTATAGTAGTCCCATTCCTAAAAAATAACAAGATGCAAATGCGTGGATAATGATAGTCACGCCTTTGTCCTGAGGGGAATGACCAAACATAAGCACACAGGAACATTCTTTCTGTCTTATTGACCACATTTTGCGAATATCGTAAACAGGGACTAATAGTGCGTTTAAATGAGGTTAACTAAGTAATTCTAGTGTCGGTGAAAAATGACTTTTTTCAGATTAGAAGGGTCTAGGTGATGTCCCAAGATGAAAATGCGAAATCCCACTTCTGATGCAAAACTATTTGACAACCTAGTGTAAACCTGATATATTGTTTCCGCAAGTAATAAATCAGAGGCGCAAACGTGCATGCAACTAGTTTATTGAAGAAAACTAGGTGGGCGTAAAATATCAAAACGATTCGTCAATGCGTAAAGACGAATTATGGAGGTTCGCCTTGCAAAATAAAATTGTATCTTTTAGTTGCAAATTAACACCAAAGAAAATACGATTTTATAAAAAGCTCTATCAGTAGCTGCTTAAAACAAGCATCTCAGATAAGAAGAGTACTACCTACGATAGACAAAAGGGGGAGATAAAATACTGAAACGCACTAAGACTGTAAAGACGAAAAATGAGACGAAAATCTGGCGAATAAAAAATAAGGTACTGATATGTACCTAATTGTTAATGCACTTCGTTCATAATAGCCTTTTTCATACTAAACAAAAAATATTTACCTGGATAAAAATCGTTGCGTTTGGACATTTTAACTTTGGCTCCACTTTCCTTCTGAATTCGTTCGATTGCCTCACCATCTTTTCCTATGACTCCACCTGCAGCAATTGCAGGAATAAGTACCTTAAGATGGATAGGTGAAGCTAAAATAATGAAAAGGAAAAAATTAATTTCAAATACAAGGCCAAACACGTGTGTATCGGTAACATAACTCTCTACACGAAATATCAATGGGTTGATAATGTGTCAATTGCAAAGACAATTTATCATAAATAGCCATAATAAGGTCTATGAGAGACCTGTCTAGTTAACTTGCGACTAAAAAGGAGTTAGTTTCGACGACTTTAATTTCATGGAATCTCTACGGAGATCAACTGTAACGAGTCTAATGGTTTTGTATGAAAAATTATTACGAGCAGT